TAAACTTTTTTATTTAAAAATCACTGTTTTCAAAATTTAAATCAGCATGTTGTTACTCCGATCATTCCACGCAAAATATCAGCTACCACAAATAATCATCTGGAAGAGTTGAGTGATATGTCATATTAAAGCCCCTTTAGTGGTTATTTGAGAAAATTATCCCAGTGTCAAGAAAAACCGATATGAAACTTTCAATTTTTCGTCTTAATTTTTTTTCTTAAATTTAATTAGATTTTTTTAACACTATGGTCGGATAATGCTGTGCTACTGCATACTAAACGGCTATTCTTGTTTTTAATTTACCTTTATTTATGTTATGTCAAAACCGCAGTCTTTGAATGATCTAATGACATGATTCCAATGAATCTAGGGCTCAAAAAGCCAAGCGGCTAGTGTGCAGAGCTTGGTTTGAAGTATATTTATATGATAAGAATTAAACACTTTTTCAACAAAATGATTTTTATGTTCTTTTTAAGTTAGAAGTTTCGGGCTTTTTTAAATGTTCATTTATAATCAGAAAAGCCAGCGGTGAACAATTTCTGATTATTTCCTCGAGTTTTTGGTAGTGTAGAGGAAATATAAAGCACTCAAATGCCAAATGCAGTGGCAAATTGCATGCATTTTTTTTATTTGAGTCTTTTATCGGAATTTATTTTCTTTTTAAAACTTTTGAACAAAATTTAACCAATTATAAAATACACTTACATTACTTAAAAGAGCTATTCTTTACTGAAAACATTTCCTACTTTAAATTATTTTGTGCTTTGACTTTGATTTGTATTAGGAGCAGGCTATGTTTAAAACTATATGATTTAAATTTTGAGCGCTTGGGGATTAACGGGGTCAATCTATATCTCCTTTTTCGTCCAATGTTTCCAAAAGTTAGAAATAGTTTGAGACACTTGAAATTTTCCAAATAATTTCCGACATTGACTTGTCACTGCATCAATCTCATATAAAAATATTCCATAACCAGAGCTCCAATTCTACAAACTTGTTTTTTGAGATCCTTTCAAAAATTTATGGATGTTTGAAAATGTCTGAAAATAATCATAGTAATAAATTGTTTCCAATCTAAACTACTGGTATTCAATATCATCCAAGAAAAGCAAATTTATTAGACAATAGATTGGGAAGACGAAGGACGTTTTCAAGCGTCACAAGCAGAAAAAAATTAGTCAAGTGTTATCCGCGCATAACAAGATATGTAGCTGTTCAAAATTCAAATTTCTTGATTGAGTTACAGAAACCAAAAGAAAAAATTCATAGAAAATTTTGGCAAAATCAAAGGGATCAATTACTATAAAAAATTATTCGCTTTGATTTTCAATCCTTAATTAAATCTGGAACCGTCCTCTTATTCGAGATATAATTTTCTAAAAATTGTGGTTAACAACGTTGATTTAGTATTTAGTTGCTGTTTTGATGAACTATTGACAAGAACTCTTGAAAAACTGTTAGAACTAGGTTTAAAATAATCCTAGCTTTTGTTTTAGGAGATTTTTTTTATAATTTTGGTGTTTAATTGAGGTTATTTTTTGGTTCATGATGCTTTTAAGCTGCTCTTATGCAGTTAATATTAATGCTTAGAAAATTTTCAAAAAACAGCAGTTTGAAGCGTTCTCATTGGGCGGTAGAGGAAAATATAGTACACAAAAATGTCACTTGGATTTCGCAACTGGATTGTGGAAAATCTAGAAGTAACTACCTAAACAAAAGTGAATCACTTAGAAAAAGCCGATGGATGCGAAAATAACTTCAAAATCAATCAGCTCTTTCCTGATGAGGAAAATCTATTCTGACTAAAAAATGTAAAAAATGAACTTTGCGGTTAAAATTCGTTCTTTCACGAACTAAACATTAATCAGCAAAAAATGCGCGATTTTGAATGCGTGTTGTTTCATCATATTGAAAAAAATGACATGATTCAAGAAAATATAATTTCATAAACATAAATGCAGATTCAGGTTTTGACTTATTGTTCCGACTTTCGATACGAAAGTAACGGAATATTTGTGCTCGGGGTGGGTTTTTTTTTCTTCAGACAAATTTCGACTTTTTAACTAGCCATTTTTGACGGAATTTTTTTATATCATTAGAAAGTTATTGTTGTCCTGAGCTCAAATTTGAAAAGATATTTCACCTGTGATCATTTTTCGTAAAGTTACGGGGGTTTAAAGATTGCCATTTTGGCCAATTAGGGACAATTAATGTGCGATATATTTCGCGCTATCAACGCGTAAGCGGAGATTTAATCCGTCTTATAAATCGTTCCAAATTGGTTAAAAGAAGCTTATTTGGCGTAATTGATTTGTTACCACGAGCGAAATCTATTGTTTTGTACTTTATATGGCGTGTGGGGGGATGATTTTCATAAAAAATTTCATTTTATTTTATTTTATTTTATTTTCTAATGTTATTACTGCTCCATAAACCTTAAAAGGCAGTCGGAACATGCAGGGCTTCGCCCTGATACGAGCAGTCTTGTTTTATTATCACTTGGATAGAGTTTTAACCATATGAAATTTATTACATGTTTTTGCATTAAATGCCAAGCGCAGATTAGAAATCACAAGTTTCATCACTTTGATTTCCTTCTAAATTATTTTTATGGAATGGTCGCATCTAAGAAGTCACGCAGAAGTTGTTTCTGGCCGACTATAATTATTTGCTTTTCAATTACTGTAATCTTAAATAAATATTCACAAACTATAACTTCAAAGCTGAACAAGGATTATTCAGATCTGCAGTTACCCAAATGGAACCCGAATATGATTTCAACGGAAGAAATATTGGAACAACCACAAGGGCAAACCAAGATTGTCATCCTGACTTATATGAGGCTGGGCCTTCTTTTGCGTTTCCATTTTTAAACACCAATTTTTACTTTAAATCATACCTAAAAACGCGATTCAAAATAGATTCTAAAATATGCAAAAAATAATACAAATATTTCAATTCCAACAAATTATGTAATTTTTTCAATTCGTTGAAACTTGTAAGTAACTCTTAGAAATTGTACTGACTAATTAAGGCTTCTCACCTGACTAGGCCTATCGGTCTGTTTGATGTCCTTGCATATCAAAACTTTGAAAATTGACAAATATCTATTGAATAATTTCTGATATCAAAACAATTTATTATTAAATTAGAAGCAAAAATCAGGTCACTGTGTTATTAAAACATGAAAGTTTTTAAATTTTTCCAGTAGTCTTTAAAAAATATATAACTTGAAGTGAAAAAAATGGTAGATTCTTTCTACTATAATCAGTAATTGAGGTTGAACACACGAACATCTAACTCGTATCAAGTTCTATCTAGAATAACTACGCGGCTAACCACTAGCACAAGTCAAACAAAATCATAAAGCTGAGTTAGGACCGAAGTGTATAACTCATAGAGTAATTTCGGATAGGGTACACCGTCTGCTCGTCACGCTATCTTATTTTCGGCCGGATAGATTCGTGCAACTTCTTAGTCTAATACCGATCCTAATCTTACTCTTATACTATCTAGTCTCAGGTTGTTTAACTAGTCTCTGCTAGGCTCAATAGATCTAGGGTATACTGGTTTATTGCGGCTGCTGAAGTCTTCTTGGAGAGTCAACTAATTTCTAAGTTAAATTCAAATCTCTCTGGTGCTGAAATTACAAGTAATTTCAGCACTTACAAATAAGTGGGTTGTTAGTTAGATGGATCATGATTGGTTAATATTAAATACTTTACAGTGGTAAAATATCTAATTTATTCAATCATAAAATGTAGTTTAGATCAGGTTCCACCCATCCGGGTTTTACAGAGTTTTTTAGAATAGTCTTTCTGCAATTCAAAGGATGGATGATGGACGTTGGTATTTGGCGAACATCTTATTTCTTCTGGGTTTTCTTTATAAGAGAAGTCCCAGATTCAATCGTTGTGTCTTCTCAAGACAACGACTGGGTTTTCGCAACAAACTCAAAACTGATTTCAGAATGGTTGGCTATGACAGGTTTTTCCGTTTCATGTAGAGAACTTCTTTTGAGTTTGACCTTGTCTGGGAATGGCGTGGAGATTGTGTGTGGAGGGGATGCCTGGTTACTCGGATCTGTACGTATACTTGAACATCGAGGTGGTCATTGTTCTAGTTCAATGAAGTCCTTTTCTGCGAAGTCAAGTCGTACTCTAAATCCTTTGAGTTGTGATTGTGGGCGGCATATTGATTGTGGTTGGCCATTTTTTTTCGAGTGTAGTGGGGTCATCTTGTTTTTGGATGTTCATCTTTGGTGTTGTATGCTGATCTATATACTGCAAGATATAATTTACATTTTATAAAATTTTTATTAGTTTAATGTTTTAGTTATGATTTTGGTTAGTTGTTTTCACAAAAGCTTTTTGTTTTAGTTCGGTTATTTTGAAGAGTTACTCACCCTTGAGTAGCTCTTATTAAAAATAGGAGTGTGGTCACAAAGCGTGGATGTAGCGCGGTGGGTTAGGCCGGCTACAGAGCATGCTCAGGACGTCCTCTTCTGGTGGGTTAGGCCAGGAGTGGGAGTATGATTGCATGCGGTTTTTGTGAGGGGTCCTGTTATGTGACAACGTTTTATGTTGGGTTTGTTGTGGTTTTTCTTATGTTTTGTTGGTTGTGTCCTTTTTTCAAAAATCAAATTGTTTGTGGTATGGGTTTGTCTTTCGACTTTTTTGTGTTTTATTATTTCTTTCTTAGACTTTATAATAGTCTTCAAAAGAATAAATTATCCAGTTTTAAACTGGGTTAATCCGGTTTGGGTACCGTTTGTTTCCTTTTCTTAGTCATGCTGTTATTCTATGATTTGTGGTGTTTAGTAAGCTGCATTGGTTAGTGTTGTTTAGTATATAATTCCTTTCCAACCGGGTTAAAGGAAAGTTTGAAACGTGTTATCTTGTGTTAGAGCTGTTGTTTGTGAAAGCTTGAAACTGAAATTCATTATTTTAAACAATTCTTCGTGGGCGAGCTGTGCGAGTGTGGATAGAATCTTTGTGCGAATGAATGGAAATATCAAAAGGTTAGTACTGCGTTTTCGATTTATCAATTTATTACATAGAAATTCAAATTTACTGCTAGTTGTTGGGGAAAATTAAGTTACATATTTTCATCATTATTAGATATACTGCATTTGGGAAAAAATTTATAAATTAATTAACTGCATTGGTATTATTTTTATTGAATTGTTTGGTGCAAAAAATTAATAGAGTTTTAAACAGCTTGAAGAAGTTTTCAATTTTTATTTTCTTTTGTGAATTTTTCAGATGATCGTTGGATGAAGGCTAAAATTCTAAAGAAGACATGAATAAAGAATGGTTAGTTTCTAATTTTAATTTAATTAGTTAATAATATATATAATTCATATTTACCTGTTAGTCGTCGGGGAAGAAACCGTGGGGGAAGATGTCGTGGATGAGATCTGAAGTTGTTAGTAATTTAGCTAAGATGCGGATGATATTTTTAGTTTGAAGCAGTGGCCAAAGCAATTGAAGTGCTTTAATGGTGGTTAGTTCTTCAGTGCCAACTGCAAACTCATAAGGTGTGTTTTGGATTAGATTATATAATTTGTGATTGAATTTAGTGTTGTGGATGAATTCTAAAATGGGGATTTCTATAGGTTGAACAAATTCGTGTGGGAGAAAGAAGGGTCGGGATTCTTCTGCGTTGAAGGTCTTGGTGATGGGACAAAAAATATACATTTGGGTTATGGGATCATAATTTCGAAGAATACCAAGAAGGTTAGTATCTTTAATGCAATATGTGAAGTTGAGAAAGAATGGTGAGGTGTATTTGGAATTGATGAATTGAAAACGGTGGTGTGGTTGTCTGGAGGGAGTGTGTAGGTCGAAGTGATTTTGGATAAAACGATAATATGTATATGTGTGAGTTTGTTTAGTGCGCAACATAATATCGTGTGAGCAGTGCAAATCTCTTTCATGTGGTGCAAGGAAATGAAAGGTTAGTGAAAATATTTGGAAGCGTTCTTTAAAACTTTCGTAGGCTTGCGTGTCTGTTAGTGCTTCTGAGATGATGTGGTCAAATTTGCGATCAAATATATTGAGTGTAAAAACATATGGTGTTTTAATGAAAAATTTTTCTGTGATTTGTGGGTTAGCGAAGCGGTCGTCGTCTAAGAATTGATCTTGGTTAGTTTTGATGATGTTATGATCGTAATATTCTAGCGTATATTCGTTAGCTCGGGGTGCAGTGTATGTTTTTAGTGATTTTTTATATCCTATGTAAGGAAATTGTCTAGGTGTTAGTGGTGTAGTGAGTCGATATAGCATGTCCTTATTTCGTTCTATATCGATGTGAGTGTTAGATAAAGGTAAGCAAAGGGGATTAGTAAAATGATAATACGAGGTCCAAGGAAGGGTAGGCATTAAAACGTGTTCGTCTACAAAGTTACGTGTTTCGTTAGTGTCGTGAGGGGTGTTTAAGGTGTATTGTGGAAATGAGGGTAAGGTGATAGCTAAAAATTCTTTTGTATTAGTGTGATTTGGGTGATTTATATATTCACGGGCTGTTCCTGGTTTTGCTGGGAAAGGATGGTTGGGGAACTTTCTTTTAAAAGTGCGGTAAGCTCTATTAGTGCTGAGTGAAGATTCAGTAGATGTGGATGATGGTGCTAATGATTCGGTATAAATTGAAGAGGGTGTAGGGGTAGGAGGGTTGGATGAATCTATTGTGGATGAAATTTGGTTTATGGTGGGGGTGTCAAGGTGGTAGGGTTGTTGTTGTAATGTAATAAAATTATCTAGTTCTGGGGAGATTTGGGGGGTATCTGGAGAATGGGATGATCGGTCTGAATGATATGAAGAATAGGTTGGAGTGACTTGGGAAGCATAAGAGGGTGTAGAATTGGTGGGGACAGGGTTATTTGGTAGCATTGGTTGAAAAGGGGGTTGGGAAAAAATTGAGGGGTTGGTGTGAAAATTATTGAATGGAGATGGCTCAGAGTCGGCAAATTCATCGGGGGTTTCAATATTCGGGTTATTGAGTTGTGATGTGGAGTAGAAAACTGAGATGTGTGAATTAGTATCGGAATTCATGCCTGATGTTACATTACTGGTTGGAAAATCGGGTGGCGGGAAAGCAAAAAGTGGTATTATTGTAATTGAAGTAGTGAGGTTGGTTGGATGGGAATTTGAACGGTGTAGGGATCCAAGTTGTCGGCTCATCGTGGGCTAAAAAAATTATTATTTTGAGACTGAAAAGTGGTGGTATGGGGTTGTTCTATAATTTGTTCATATGTATTTTCATCTTGTGAGTGGTGTGTCATTATATGTTGGATGGGACTTTGTGATATGGTTGGTCTAAAATTTGGATTATGTGTTATTGCTAAGTTTCGAAAATTACGTGGGACTAGGGATAATGGATGGTTATGTGGTAGGGGTGGTAACTGTGGTGCTGTTGGCGTTGTGTCTACATTGTTATGTTCTTCGTCGTATGTGTTCTGTCTTGTTGCTATTTTTGTGTTGTATTCTTTTATTTGTGCATCTAAAAGAATTTTGTTTATTGATGTAGAAAAAATTCCAAAAAATCCTGCAAATAGTATGCGTGCTACACTTGCTTGTCTATTGACTTGTGTGTGTATAGCACATGTGTTATAGATTCCTTTTAAGAGTGAAAAAAGAAATCCAATAAAGTTAAACATTGCGTATAAAATAGTCAATTTTTCTAAGATGTAGTAGGGCCATCCTAGAAAATCAAGAATTTCATTCTTGAGTGTAACAAAGCTAAAAATATTGATAGGTGATATATCTTGGGGACGGTATTTTTCACCGTTTAGATATATATAATCTTTAATGTCTTTAAAATATCCGCTATAGTCTTGCGTATAGATGTCTGCAAATCCTGCGGTTTCGGCAAGTTTGCGTAAGTTTTGGTCAATTGATTGTCTTTGTATTGTGTCCATTTGTGTTAATAATTCTTGGAATTGTTGTGTTCTAATGTGATGTTGAATATCTGATTTTGAGTATATTCCTATTGATTGTAAGTCTATATTTGGGTTTCGAGCGATAGCGCGAATGGTTTCTGGTGAACATTTTTTGAGTGATTGCATTAATGTGGGATATGGGGTGAGAAGGTAATATTTATCTTCATCAGGGTTTAGTTGTACTACATTGTGGCTATTTTCTGATCCACATGGGACTGCGGTATCCCAGAAATAGGTTCTTCTTGAAAGTGTGTCAACGAAATGTACTTTATTCTTATAAAAGATAGGGATTCTTTTATAGCATCGTTTGTCTTCAAAAACGTATAGTGGTGATACTTTTTTGGTACAAGTATAAAACCATAAAATGTTTCCTTCGTAGTCTAAAAAATTTGATCTATTTCCTGATAGTAAATATCCTGCGTAGGGTATTTTTAATACTGCTAGTGCAAGTGATTGTAATATTTGTGTTCTTTCTAATTCGCATAGTTGGTGTAGTGTTTCTAATTCGGAGAGTGACATTTCTTGAAAAATTCGGCTAATCGTGTAGTCTAGTTTCATATCTAAGTGAATATCATAGTGGATATTACCGAAATATGTACTATTCATTAGTGATAGTTCTTGTAAACGTGTACTTTGATCGTCTTGGGGCTTTAAATGTCCACCAGGTTGACCTGTAGTTTTTTGAAAATGAACTGGTATGTATGATGTTCCTTCGTTTAGAGGATGACCTGTTGCATATGGGTCGATTTTTACTTTTCCAGTGGTCATGTCGAATCCTTTTTCGTATTCAACTAATATCTCGGAGTATTGTGTTTTGTGAAGTGGATTTCTGTATTTACATGCAAGTTCTGTTTCTTGATATATTTGAAAACGTGTCAATTTATTTTCTATATTGTCTATGTTTCTAAAATTAGAACTTAGTTTTCGTGATGGATGGACTTGTTCATATGGAATTGATTGTATAAAATATTTTTCGTGAAATTTTATCATACGAGCGTGTATTTTTGCTACTTGAAATGTTGTACATGTGTCTTCGGGGAACCAAACAATTGTTGCTTGTGTTCGTGTTGTAGGGTCACAATAGCCTTGATCATTTTTACAAGGTAATCGAATTCCTTGATAGATCATTGTGTTGTCTGATAAATCGCGTGTGAGTTGTATTTTTTCGAGTTGTATTTTCCAATCAAAAAACATGATTTCTTGATATCCTTTCTTTTTTGTGTTTGCTTTGCAGTTTGATGGGTCATTTATACCAATGTGTGGTATCCAGTGTTTATCGTGTATATCATAAGTTAATCTTCCGTGTGCACCGTTGTATGGGTATTTTTCATCTAATTTTACATGTCCTTGATATCTTTCAAGTTCTGCTTGATGTACAGAATCTGCAAAAACTTGGAAATATACTAGTTTTTTATCTGTGTTTTTATTTCTTGTGATATTTAGTCTGAGTAACTCGTTTTTACAATCTTCGGGATTGAGATGTAAAAGTCGTTCTATATTACTCTGGTAGAATGATTCATGGTCAAGTCGGTTTTTATTTCCATTTGAAACTTGTGAACAATGTACTTTCTTTTCAGAAAATGTTGCTGTGAATTTATATCCTATAACTGTTGTTGCTCGGGCTTTTGAGTAAAGTGTTGCGATTAAATTTGTAGTTTCTATGGCTTGTGGTTCTGTTTTGCATTGTGATACTTGATTTATTGCATATTTGTGTAGTGTTTTTTGTTCGTTTTCTTCACAATCGCAATGTGTTACTAATAAATCTTGGGGTCCAGTGCGGGGGGAAGGGTTTATGTTTTCATTTGAGGTTATTAGAAAAAGGAGTTGGAGAAAAACTGAAATTTTTAGAATATACATGTGTATGACAATCCTGAGTATGGGTTATAAAATGTGATGTAACCAATAGTCTTTTTGGTATATCTGTCGTATTTGTATATTACTTCAGTTGTTATAAATGGTGGTGGTAGGGATTGAGCTGTTATATTTGGTGGATTTAATGGATAGGGGTGTTGAGTAATGTTGTTTAATTTAACCGTGATTTCAAATTTTAATTGTAGACTATTTTGTTGGAGTATTTGGAT